ACACGCCGAAGACGAGCTTGCTTATACGAACATGGGCACGTCCTTGCGCGCATGCCTTGTGATGAATGTTTGAGGCGTGATACACAGTCATGCGCGTCGGGCCTAGCAGGGCCAGCGATGCAATATCGTCACGGCCGTAGTACATACCTGCAGACACGAGATGATACGTGAGCGACATACACACACGGCGCACTCTCTCTCTCTCATCCTCACGCGCGCGCTCTCTCTCTCTCTCTTCTCACGCGCTCCTCTCTTTTCCTCTTATCTCTCAGCGCGCACTCTCTCTCTCTTTCATATTTCTCTCTCTCTGCTTTCTGATTTCTCTCTCTCTCTCGTCCCTCTCTCCACCTCTCCCTCCCTCTCTCTCTCTCTCTCTCTCTCTCTCTCTCGTCTCTCTCTCTCTCTTCTCTCTCTATCTACTTCTTCAATTTTCTCTCTCTCTCTCTCTCTCTCTCGGCTCTGTGTGTGTGTGTGTGTGTGTGTGTGTGTGTGTGTGTGTGTGTGTGTGTGTGTGTGTGTGTGTGTGTGTGTGTGTGTGTGCGCGCGCGCGTGTTAGTGTGCATGTGTGGGTTTATTTATTTATATATTTATGCATTTATTTATTTAGTATTTTATTTATTTATTTATTCGTGCATTTCTTAATTCATCTATAACTCCGTGTGTAATCATAGCCCACAGCTTCACGCGGCAGACGCCGTAACGACTCCGCCGTGGCGGGTTGCCAGGGGCAACGCCGCCGACGCTTACCAATCAGCGGTATCTCCTCGGACGTCGGCGGCATGCTCTCGGCGACTAGCATCAGAAATACGGTCATTGACAGCAGTGTCGTAATACCCAGAGTCACCTTCTCGCCGGAGTCGGACGGCATGTAGAAACCCAACAGGGCCACGGCCGTGATGAGCACGCACGGCAGCACGAGATTAAACACGTAGTACAGCGGCCGCCGCCGCAGCTGTATCGTGTACGTCACGTGCGGGTACGGCTCCGAGCAGCACGAGTAGTACATCACTTTGCGTTCCTCCTTCAGACTGATCAGCTTCCACTCGCCGTTAGCGACGTAGTTCGATAGGTCGGCTTCATCGGAGTTTTTGATGAGGTCCATCTGGAAACCGTCGTACGTCCACGAGGCGAACTGCAGCATGCAGTTCTGCTCGTCGAATGGGAAGTAGCGAACGTTGATTCGACACGAGCTTCTAAAGATGGCGGCGGCGAGCCACGTGACGTTGCCGTCGTGGCTGACGATGGCGTTGGTGCTGACGATGGCGTCCGTGTAGCCCGTGTCGGCGCTGAAAGAACGGAAATGACGTTGAGATGACGGAGGAGGGGGGGGGGCGGAGTGGCGACGCTTTCTTCGCGTCTCTTTGCAAGGCGGAGTGTAGCAGCAGGAGGAAAAGGGGGAGGGGCTCAGATAAATGTTGCGGACGAAAATGTCAAACCGTTATGACGAAGACTAAAAAAACACGTTGGGTTGTTTTTTTCAGGCGAATTCTGAAATATTTGCGCACGATCGTCACGTAAAAAGAAGAGTTTGCAGTATGTTATTGTAGTAATAGGGTTGCGTTTAGTACACACATCAAAAACGTAGAATCGAAAGTAACCATCATTATCAAACTTGAATGCCGATCATAGGTGCGTATTAGGTGCAGCTATAAAAAATTGAAAATGTGACGCAAAATACATCGTGATTATCTCCTGTGATTTTAACAAAAGTAATATTCTCGCATTATATATATATTTAAATAAATAAATAAATATATATACATGCGTAATCTTTTATTTCATGAGTAGATATTTCAGAATTCGCAACATTATCCAGATTGGCATTCCTCAGGGTGGGTATACGTAGGTCGGGTAGGGTGGTGTGGGGGTGTTCGTACACTGCGGCATAAGGCACACATATAACAACCAGCTTTACGCTAGCACCGAATGGTGTACAATCAGCCGCGCCACCAGCGCCCCTTACTTTTGCGAACAGATGGCGCCCCCGTCGCGGCGACAGCAGTTCCATCTGTGATCAGCCCGCTAGAGGCGCTGTTGGTCGAAGCGTATGCGGTTATGGGGGAGGCGTGTGGAGAGTAAGAGAGAGAGAGAGTGAAAGTAAGAGAGCACACACACACACACTCAGTCGGGAAACACTACAGTTACGGATGATAGGAAATCGGATATGTTTAATACCTCCGTCGTTCAATGCTCATCGTTCGACGTGGAACGTGACCCCACCACCTACCACCACGGCAGAGTATCGGCGTATATATATGATGATTGAGACGTAGGCATCTGCCGAGGTGCATGCTCGTTCTGCGTCTAAAGAGTGAGCTAGTAAGTCTATAAGATTTAGTAGAGAGAGATGAGGGATGTAATACAGAAGTCTGGACTCAGAGGAGAATCGTCGAGTAAGATCGGAGTAGCTACGTTGAGGCAGTCTCGAATGCCCTAAAGATTTAGAGTGTAATGAGGAACCGTTGCACGATGTCAATGGAGACATCTCAAATCTTCTCTCGTCTGCTGGCCTCATTGACTTCTAGTGCTCCGACAAACACCCTCTCCGTCAGCTTGAGTCAGACGATATTCTGTATGAGGTAGACGCGCCGTGATGCGGGCAACGTACCCGCGTCTCTTTTCCTATCGTGGCTCTCGAACTCTTTCGCTCTAACGAGGTCGCTTTAATGTATGCAATTGTATCTTATGTAATATGTGTTATGTTGTCCGCTCGAAATTAATTCTAGTCTGGCTTTACTCTCGCTGTGTCCCTCACGGAATGTGCCCAGAGAAAGAAATCAAGTTTCCTGACGCTGTCGCAGTTAAGCCGTTACTGGGCCGGTGGTGAACAGTAGGGGGCTTCCGGTCTTAGCAGTTTGTTACGCATCAATTGTAGCGCAAAACTTGCTCGTGCGGCATTAGTGAGCTGTGTTGCACTTTATAGTTAAAGGCTCCCGAGGGAGCATGTTTGTGTGGCCATCTAGTTTAGATCGTTTTTCGTTTATTTTTCCCTCCGCGTGGGACTGTCGTGTCGTGGACTACTCATAAGCCGCGTTCCTGACGGTCCTAGATTTGGCGCTCGAGCGGGCACACGTGGCGGGGGGCGGTAGAGTGGGGGCTCACTAGAGATTAGACTGGCTGAGTCGAGCCAGTTTGATATTCAAATTTCAGGCTCGCGCCGGTGTTGAGTCGGCAGCGTTCTAAGCTACGTCCTAGCGCGTTTAACGTAGAGTGGGGAGTAAATACTTGTCTGTCAATTCTCCAAATGTCACAAATAATTTGTTTAAGTGGGGCAGGACAAGATATTTCTTCAGCAGATTACTTTGGCGAGTATGGCGCGAGATGGCCGGTTGTGTACGATTTAGAGGGCTGGTTTACTATCTACGATCCGCCGGTTCAGATTATCCAATCGTTAGTGAAAAATGTAGCGTGCAGAGCGAGTCTTTCTGCCGCTGGCGGAGTGAAAAGGAAGCACACGTAGAGAGCAGTTAGAGTGCAGGTGGATTGCCTCCTGATTGCTGAGAAAATTTAATTTTGATGTCAGACATTTTGGTATCCAGGCTGTTGTTGCACTTATATTAAATAGTTTCGTTCGAGACACGTTGTTGCAAACGAGCGCGTACACGCCACAGGCATGCTACCGCTCGAAGACCCGATGTTCTGTCTAGACCGGTGCTCCTACCGTCGTCGGTCGCCGATAGTGAGTTTTTCTGTATGCTGTTGCTTTAGAATGGTCTTCGCTGTCTTGTTGTAATGCTTGTTTGTATTGGTCTTGTGCTCCTCCCTCGGTGTTGGGGCTTGTCTTGTATTGTGCTCTTGTCCCTGTCTCTGGTTGTATTTTTATTGGTGTATTGTGTCTTGTATTGTGTATTGTATTGTGTATTGCACGTTTTCGGGGACTTAATAGGCCCCTTAGTCCATGGTGTTCCGATGTGAAATCTTGGCGGTGCTATCTGGTGCTCAATATAGGAGGCACGTGATGTAGAATTAAGAATGGGCGTGAGAGAGAGAGAGGGAGGAGAGAGGAGAGCCGAAAAGAAGAGAGAGGGAGGGGGAAGAGATATAAGATGAGCAGAGAAACCAAG